TATTTTAAGATCACACCCTTCCTTGTAGATCCTAGGAGGATATAGCCAATCCAATATAGAACATCGTGCACATTAAGAATTCCCACGACTCGACTACAAGTTATTGTACATTTACATTGTCCTGGGGTTGTCCTAATTGATTTGAATCTTGCAACAACATGAAAGTAATTCCTTTGAGAATAAGGCCTACAATAGCATAAGAGGAATTCCTTTAAGAATAGGGCTTTTAGTGCAGAAGCATTCCTCCGGGTCAATATTTTCTTGGTGTTTATAACTTTTAAATTACACTCACAATTTTGACATGGCAGGCAGAAATTTCCATGGAATTAAATGAAGGCGTTGTCCACTACAATTCACACTAACGATAGTTTGGTGGAAGACGTCACATTTGCAAGGGTCTGGGCACTCTAAAATGAGGCAAAAAATGTTGGCCGTTAAAATTCATCAACAAAGGCTTCAAATTTGAAAGAGTTAAGTCAGTTGTTTTGGCAACGAAGGATGTTTAATTTTCATAGAACATTACTGTAAAATCACAATTACCAAGATTAGAGTAACGCTTCAGAGTTACGATGTAAATTAACAGATCATGAGTCAAAGATGAAAACCGGAACGAAAACACGAACTTCAGTTACACTGTATGCAGGCGCCAAAATCAACAAACTGTGGCATAGTAACTTCACTTGGAATAGAAATAAGTTTAAGCACATAAATGTGAATTTCCTTTGGTTCTCATCATATACGTCGCTTCCTTCATCAGATAACTATCATACCAATAATTAACATTCAAACCTAAAAACAACATACAAGTTAAATTAAAAGGATATAGAAAGATTACTTTTGAAAGGTAAAATAAGACTCAACCACCAAAGTAGCTTAAACGTTTTTTTGGGTGGTTAGAATTTTGAGCAAATAAAAAAGTACAGGTTTAGACAATCCAATTATGCAAAGTGCTGATATACATCAACAAAACAATAAAACCTCACCTTCAATTCTGAGGCTGATGCTCCTTCTTAGCACCTCTCCATCTCCTCTTGCCTCGCAGCTGTAATTCACGTTGTTTTCCGAAGTTACTTTAAGCTGAAATGTTATGCTGGTACTATTTTGAACAGCGACACCATCTTTTCTCCATACAATGTATGGAGCCGGCGCACCTTTCATTGGGCACCACAGTTTAGAGGTTCTGTTCAAAAATACATACTGCGTCTTTGGAGCTTGGTCCATCGTAGGATTGACTGTATCAGTTTTAAAAAGTAATAATAATAATAATTTCAGGATGATTATGGTGCATGTATTCAGAATACCTTAGAAACAGTATGGACGAGATAATCTTTTCCTTTCGTCTGTCTTTAAAACTAGAATGTGAATGAAGAAAGATGAAAAGGAAAAGAGTCCATTTGTGAAAAGAAAAAAGAAGCCTTGTTTTCAGCGAAAGAAGTAAAGAAATTCGTCGCGGAATGGCGAAATAATCTCATCGAAATGGATAAATCCTCGTAGCTTAGGCAATTTTCGCTGCTCACAGTCGATCAGCAACCATTCATTTTTGCCGCAGCGTGCTTAGGCCGCTTTTTAAGTTGAAAAAAAACAAAAATAAAAAGCAAAAAACTTTGAACTCAAAATTGCCTTTCAGCAGAATTGAACCAAACATCTGTCACGAGTTACTGTTTAATAGTTACCGCAAATCGTGTTTTTGCAAGGAGTCTCCTGAGATTCTGCAAGACGCTTCTATGTTTCTATTAGGAGTTGGCATTCTAAGTTTTTCAGAGTTTTGACATAACTTGATATGTGGTTACCCAAACGCGTGAACTGTTGGGAAAACATTAGAAGCATAAAACAGTCTACGTCGTTAGCACGCGAATGTGCATTTCTTTGAAGAGTCAGTAATTGCCTTGAAATTTGGTCCGAAGACTCGTAAGATACTAACCTAAAAGACTTTGTTAGGGAATTGCGTTTTTCAAAATGGATCATAATCTTTCGATTAATAAATATTTTATTGTGGTTATGCGTCAAATAGCGCGTTAAAAATGTATTTTGGAAGGACACCCGCGAAGGTCTTATTACTTCTACAAATTAAAACGTGAAAGCAAGTTACAATTGATCAATACAATTTGACCTACAATTTGACCTACCTACAGGACTTCGTAATAGACCTCGCTCACCGTAGAGTCACTGTGGCTCAGTGGTAGAGCATCAAGGCGCGGTATCCGGAGGTATGAGATTCGTTTCCTCATGGGGATTCAGAATTTTTTCTTTGTCCCACGCTCGTGACAAGACGAAACACATCTTTCTCTGTTTCTATACCGAGCTAAACTGTTGCCATCTCCCTTATTCAATTTACAACCATGACACTATAGAAGTTGCTCATCTTAGCAGTATGCAGGACGGAACTTCGTAATAGACCTCGCTTACCATAGAGTCTCTCTGGCTCAGTGGTAGAGCATCGAAGCGCGGAACCCGAAGGTCTGAGGTTCGATTCCTCATGTGGACTCAGAATAATTCTTTGTTCCACGCTTGTGACGAGACGAAAAACATCTTTCTCTATTTCTTTACCGAGCCCAAAATTTACCATCTCTCTTACTCTATTAACGACAATCAAGTTGTGTCTGGAATTTACAATTAAGAAATATATTTATATATATATATATATATATATATATATATATATACATAAATATGTATGTATATATTTATTACATTTATTACATACATACATACATATGCAAACCTACATTTTGTATCTATCTAAACATACATATATATATATATATATAGGAAGTCTGCAAGTCGATTTTCGCGTGGAACAGTGCTCAATACGTTGAAGCAGAGCAGAATAAATATTATGAGAGGAAAAAAGGACGCAACTACATTTCCCGACAAGCCTGTTTCGTGAATCGCTTCACTCTTCAGGGGTTTAAACCCCTGAAGAGTGAAGCGATTCACGAAACAGGCTTGTCGGGAAATGTAGTTGCGTCCTTTTTTCCTCTCATAATATTTATATATATATATATATATATATATATATATATAGATACATACATACATAAAACATTGCAAGTTTGAAAATACTTGATATATATATATATAAATTTTTTTTTTTCTTTTTGATGAATAAACAAAGGTATATATATAATCATACGTAATTTCAAATTGCAGTGTTTTTGAAAACGGGTGTATTTATAGATATATATTTAATTTATTGAAAGAAACATCATGCCTGTTTCATTGATGGATCTGGCAATATAGAATATAGAGATATAGTTATAGAAATTTGTCTGGATAAATTTCAACCACATGTATCGTCCACTGGATCGCACTACTCCAGTTCCGTAATCTCCACAGAATTCACCAAGAAGATTGGTTGACTGATTACTGCCATCACGAATTTCAAGATTAAATCCCCATAGACATATTTCTGGAAAGTAGCTGCGTATTGTAAAGTTAAGTTCCACATAATGTCCCCGTGGAACTGAAATAAATTTTTTTCCGTCAAATTCCTGGACTTGTTCCCATCCTTGTGCTTGCTTATCATACTCCGACAAACCTGCAATAACTGCAACAAATCAATTAGTCTGGTTGCAACAAAAACAATTAATAGTTATTATAAAGAAATAATAAATAGTAAATAAAGACCAAGAAAAAGAAACAATGTGGAAATACAAAAAACAGTAACTTGAATAAGAGCTGAGCTCTATCTTGCAAGCACAATCACTCCTTCTATTAAATTTTAGACCATTAGACGAATCTTAGGTAAAAATACACTTTTTTTTTATCCTCCGCACAAGAGAGATTGAGGAATACCCACAAATCGACCTCTGCTAGAACTGGGACAAAAGACCCACAAAACGAATGACGATTTCAAAACTTCAAGGTTTCAACTTCAATCCAATTTTAAAAAATACGAATATTACTCCACAGAGGTTATCCTAATATGAGCTATCTCATTCACAGACACAAAATAACCAAAAACTAAATGAAAAAATAAGCACAGACGTTCTGTAAAGTAACTAGCTCAATAACACAATAGAAATTTTCGGTCAGGGCTGTGGCTCACCAAGCTTGGGGTATAGCCCAGCACCAAAGAGTCTCCGATTCCAAATGGAAAACTTGCCACCGATTTAGGATTAAGAGCGTGAATGTAGTTTCCTAGTGAAAACAGTGTATCGAGGATAGAGAAAAGCTGTTTGATTACTGGTTTTCCAGTATATTTCATTGATGTCATTTTATTTAGTTTTAAATCAAATGAATTTTATTGAATTTGAAAGGGATTTAAATCTCATTAAAATAAATGCATCAGCAAGATATGCAGCAGATCCTTATTTGGACTTCAGATGGGACAATCTTGACGTCTTGGACATTTTGTGACAAAGAATGGGCCCCACTTCACATGCATAATTTAAGTCGCATGATACATTCATATTCAAGAGATAACAAGCTCTTGCTCCTCTTTCAGTAGATGCCATCTTCGTTCATCCTCTAACTCTTCAATGCCCTCCTTCGGCTAATATCCCATTCATTATCTCCATTCCCTTCCCAGTGTCACCCACCCTGCCCATGGAGCCTCCCCTTCCTCATAATTAAAAAAAAAATTAAAAAGCTTAAAATATTTAGATAATGGTTGTAAACAACTAAGGCGCTCACAGAAAACAAGGATGAAACTCCACTTGGCCATTGAAGATACCATCACAATGTTGTGCGCTGAAGAAGTAAATTTGATATGCTTAATTATTCTTTCTGATTTTGAATTAAAATATTTATCCTTCTAGTGATTATTATAATTTCAAATGCTTGTATTCACCTAATAAGAAATCATTTTTTACATTAGCATCATCTACATAGAGTCAGCCATTTTTTTAAATTAAATAAAATTTTCGAATAAAAACAATTTTTTGATCAAAGACAGGTGACCAAAGCTAGTTCCTCTTAGCTTTCTTTTCCTACCACGATTCTTCTCTTATTTTTATAGATAACCTCAAATGCACGCACAGAATCTTCGTAGAGCGGATAGTCATTCTTCTTTTCCTTCCTTAGCCAAAATATCTCGGAAAAGAGGCCACTTAAAGTATCTCGATAAGTTGATATTTTCAGGTTTAAATTACGCAGGCCATCAACATGCACCCAAAATGGATCAGTCTCACAATTCTCGCTGACAAACCACTTAACAACGCATTCAAATAAGAAATAGGAATTCTAATGTGATCACTGAGCTCAGTTAGAATTCAGTTACGAGATGGATCGTTGATAAACTTATTTCTAATTCATGGCGACCGATAACAATATTCCATACTCTATTTAGCGCTTTTCATCCTCTAAACAAGAAATATAAAGGTGATTTTTATTCCTTTTGAATCGCTGAACAAAATCCCACCGTTGCGCAAGGCAAATATTATGTTCATGCATTTTTAATGTAAGGAAGAAAGAATGTACAAATTTTTTTGAATTTTCCTTCCCACAAAGAAAGTGCTTCTCTTTTCCCGTGT